CATTTCAATCAATACTCGCAAGCCATATAAGAAATTCAAAAAATCCAACCAAACCGCCTTTATTTCAGTTAAGGCTAAAATATACGACTACATATACTTATATCTTTTTTTTTTTCAGATTTTTTCTTTGTTTGCTTTTTTTCTTTTTTTTTTCTTTCTTTTTTCTTTCTTTTTTCTTTCTTTTTATTTTTAAACAACTCTTTCAACCTCATTCAACTTCCCCCATCAACTTACACTCCCATTCACGTCTTCCCTTTATCCAGACCACAAACAATACACTCATCCTCTTCACATAATATAATCCTAAATGCTCAAGTAAAGACAAGGAAAAATATAGATGTAGCTCAATATGTGGCATTCAAAGAAAATAGGCAAAAGCTCAAAAGGGTTAACTAGGGGATAAAAATATCATTTGGTAAGCTAAAAGGTCGAAAAAAGCTCGAACAAAAATATGCCTTAAATCATTTTCACATAAAGCACACACCATGTGGTCTTGATAAAGATACCAATGCAAGTTCTAGAATTCAAACAACAATGAATGATACACTCAACAAAAAAAATAAGGCTCAAAAGCTCACAAAGGATCATATATTCATGAATTAAAAGCATCAACCAATCATTCAAATTCACAATTCCATCAATTCTCAAATTCCATCACTTAGCACATCATGCCCGAATTATATATCAAATATGGATAAGAAACTCATCAAGGTGGATCAAAGTCAACCAACAACAACTACTTAAATCCTAAGAAAGCAATAAACATGCTAAAGCGATAAAACCTAACATGCAACTACATGATATGCAAGATAATGCAAGATATCTTGTTATCTTCTCTCTAAATTTCTCAAATCTAAATATCACATCTCCCCCCCCAAACTTGAATGAAATTATATGAAGCACAAAAGGGAAGAATAGAATTTCAATAAAAGTAAAATAGAGATTACTTACAAAACATCATTGAAGAGATGACAACTATTAGTATAGATCTCGAAGCATATCCTTCGTCATGTGGATCTCTCCATGTAATATTCTGTAAGGAAGAAAAACAAACTATCAAATAAACAAAAAAATATAAAATAAATAAAATAAAAAAATAAAGCAGTAAACATTGGGTT